ACACACTAATATGGACTTATAAAGGGTGGTAATGGTGTCTTGTAAATTATTATTGATCAATGGAATGTGCGTGGCTAATCGGCACATTGATTAGGTGATAAATGACATCGAGAGTAGCAAGCTAATTTGCGTGGTTATTCACACCTTGTTTGTGATCCTCGGTATCCCAGTCACAAATGGAAAGGGCATAACCGAGATTAAACATGCCATTAAATAGTTCAATGAATCTCAAAGGATCTAGGAATTTTATTTAAAAACCTAATTCATTTAAATTTCGGTTTTTTTCAACGTGAAATTGGTAAATTGTCATTTACCTACCTTCAAATAATTTACAATTAGATTACGACATCCTTGAATTGTGAATTATTGTGTTAGGTCCTAACCTTAATATTTCATTTGGGTGTTATATTAAGTATTTCCCTATCTAATCAAAACTTGTCCTTTTTTTTTTTTCAGATGTCAACTTCAAACAACGCTTCTGGCTCCAACTCTAACAACAACACTAACCAATTCTCTCTCTTGAGCATCTGCTCAAAAGTCACCTTTTATGGATTTAGTTATAATGATTGGATTCGTAACATCAAGATGGATTTAAGAATCGAGGACAAGGAATATGTTCTAAAAAACGAGCTAAACGAGATCGATGAAGCCAAAGCAACTCCTGAACAAATTGTTGAGTATAGGAGACATTGCAACGATGCGACCAAAATGTAGTGCATCATGGTTGCCACTATGACTCCTGAGCTTTAGAGGTCCTATGAGTACTATTGAATGTTTGAGATGAACATGGAATTAATGGAGAAGTGCCATCAACGAGCTCGTCAAGAAAGATACAAGATAGTCAAATCCCTCATAACCAGCAAGATGAAGGATGGAGAGTCCATCACGACCCACTTACAATTCATGCAACGTTATCTACATCATTTGCTTAAACTGAACATGAACTTTGATGAGGAATTGGCTATTGAAATATTCTTGCACTCATTGCCTTCTTGTTATGATCAGTTCATCATAACTTATCATCTGAACAAGGAGGAAACCACATTGAGTTAACTCCAAAGCTTGCTGAGAACCATTGAGAGTGGAATGAAGGGAAATGGGTATTGCCTCCACTCCTCTTGATATTGCTGCTCCTGTCTTGGCCATTACGCAAGGGAAGGGGAAGAAGAGGAAAGCTCCTTCAAAAGAGCACTGGAAGGGAAAGTCTCAAGCTGGGTCGTCAAGCAATGTCTCTAAAGGTAAATCTGGTTGTGATGCTTCCCCTACCTCTGATCCTAAGGAGACTACTTGATTTTATTGCCATGACAAGGAGAATTGGAAGAGAAGCTACCCCAAGTACTTGCAGGTCATTAGGGATGGCAAGGTGAAGCCAACCTCGGCCGGTATTTACGCCATTCAATCTAAAAAATCATCACATTCTAATTCTTGGGTTCTTGATACAACATGTGGTTTTCACACTTGCTCTGATGTGCAGGGACTAAAAAGAAGTAAGGATGTGGAGCATGGGAAGATGAACCTGATAATGGGCAATAGGAGATCATCACATGTTACCAAAATTGGTGTTTATTATTTAGTGCTTAGTAATGGGTTGAATTTGGATTTAAACAATTGTTGCTACTCGTCAGAAATGACGAGGAATATTATTTCTTTTCATGGTTTGTACAGACAAGGTTTTAGATATTCTTTTAATATTGAGAATGGTTCTATTAATGCTTATTATAATGGTGTATTTTATTTTGAAGCATTACCTTGTGATGGTGTATATGAAACTGTGATGGTTGTAGACAATTTGCAAAATAGCGTGTTACAAATTGATGCGTCTAATGGTTTAGACAAGGCATGGTTGTGGAATTGTCGTCTTGGACATGTCAACAAGAAACACATTACCAAACTCCAAAAGGATGGAGTGTTAGAATCATTTGACTTATGTTTAGATGATACATGCGAATCTTGTTTGCTTGGAAAGATGACTAAATCACCTTTCACTGGTTCTTGTGAAAGAGTAAAGGATTGTTGGATCTCATACATATAGACATGTGTGGGCCCTTCAAATATACCACAAGGGATGTAAATCGATTTTATGTGACTTTTACTTATGATTATAGAAGATATGGCTATATATACTTGATCAAGCATAAGTCAGAAACCTTTGAAAGGTTCAAAGAGTTCAAACATGAAGTTGAAAATCAATTGGGCAGGAAGATCAAGATGCTCAGATCTGATAGAGGTGGTGAGTATTTTAGTTTCGATTTCCACGACTATCTTAAGGAATTTGGAATTGTTTCACAACTGACACATCCTAGGACACCACAACTTAATGGTGTGGCTAAGAGGCGAAATCGAACCTTGTTGGATATGGTTCATTCCATGATGAGTTAAGCTTAACTTCCAATATCATTCGGGGGGTATGCCTTAGAGACTACCTCCTATATTCTTAATTTGGTCCCAACAAAGAAAGTTGCCAAAACACCTCACGAGATGTGGATAAGGAAGGTTCCTATCACAACAAGCAAATTTGGGTTAGGAAGTTGGGCCTTGTACAAGAAAAACTCATTGTGTAATAATGTAACATTTCATTTAGTGAAACTCAAATGACAATGATATTAAGTTCATACTTTCATACACTGTCCTTCAAGTCGAAGCAACCACGTGAAGACCCAAAAACTCGATCCAATAAGCCAAATCCAATCATTTTTGAGCCTTAGCCCAAGAATTTTCGACCCAAACCCCTTATTTAGACCAATACCCTTCGTAAAACATTATCGGGCCTTATTTAGCCGAAAACCCCTCACGTTGTTTCTATGGGCCAAAATCCTAATTATTTAACCACATTGGGCCGTAAACCCGTAAGTGGGCCCACATGGATCAAAAAAATTTCCTAATGGGTCAATACAATCTCAACTACACTTAAATCCAAGCCCAATTGTCTTTTTCTTTCCCTCCCTCTCCTAATTCTCGGTTTTTAGTTAAAAAAAAGAAGATAAATGAAAGGTTATATAGGTGACACCTCACTAATGCATGGTGGAAACCCATGCACATTGTCCACCAAATCTCTATGAACCTTAGGCTTAACCATCATGCAATTACCACCTAATCCCCCTCCTCTCTCTTTAAACTCAGCCAAACACCCTTATTCCCTCCTCATTTTCATTTTCAAATCTCACAGACTCTCTTCATCCTTCTCTCAAGTCTCCATTGTTCCTCTCAAGAGATTTTTGAGTTCTTCATCATCAAGGGTTTATTATTAAGCTCATTGGTAAGTCCATGATGAACTCCATTGTTTTATTTCAAGTTTTTACAAAAATCTTTCCTCTTACAACTCCTTTTTCGTGAATATGGGGATTAGATCAACCACCATTTCGAGATCCCTTCTAAGCTCAAGCTAGGATTCAAAAATTCTTCATATTCTTCATCGACATCTTGAAAAACCGAAGGTGAGCTTCATACCCCACTATTTTTCATGTTTTCATAACCATTGGATAACTGCATGTACCATTGTGTTGTGTGTTTAACTTTTGGGTTTTTATTTGAACATGAACTTTATCACATAGATATTCATAAAAATCATGAGAAAGGTGTTTGTTAACATATATATTGTATGGATACTTGTAGATCTGGGATTATACACTAAAAAATAACATAAATGAGTGTTGTGTTCAAACATGTATAACCTAAACTCAAAAATCAGCTTCAACAGAAAAGTTTTGGTCTAGTTACGGACTATTTTGATGATCTTAAACTCAATATTTTTCAAAACTATTTGATATGGAAATTGTTCATGTTTATACCTTTCAAACGACTACTCTCACGAGATCATACGATTTTTCTACAAATTTTGGTGATTTTTACAAAACTACCTAAAATTTCAGGGATAATCTCGAACCAATCTGTGAAGATTAACAATTTCACACAGGTTTGAGACTATTAAAAATTATGGGAAAAATTGTGAAAAGTTAGACTCAATTTCCAAACTCCTAGAGTTTACAGATCCAAATTTAGACATACGATAATTTTTCTATAATTATTCTAAAAACAGGGACAGAAAAGCCAAAAACAAAAAAATTGCTTTAACTTACGAAAAGTGCTTATACTTGTGTGTAGATGTAAGTTTTAAAGGTTTTAACCTTTTGAAAACACCTAGAAATGATAATTTTGTGTAATTATATACTTGATTATATAAACATTGTAAATTACACTGGATACACTCAAGTCATTTTACAACAAAGAGAAGTCATAGTTTACGTAAATCTGTTAAGGCTCTTGTGAGACTCTCCTTTAGTCGTACCTACCTAGCATACGCGATAAGTCGTGTAGTTATAACCAGAGTCTCCTGGAGGGAGAGCGAGAGTGTGTGTATAGATCTATACGAGATTGACAACCCCACAACTGAGTTGTTTGCTATAGCTAGACTAGGCCAGTCTAGGGTGACAAATATCTTACCTTAAACAAGTTGTCGCCTGAAAAACATCATGACAGGCATGCAATACTAGAAAAACAGCCTTTTACGACATGCAATGCGTGTCATAAAACACTCAGACGACTCACAAATGCGTGTGAAGGAAGGCCCTGTCATAACGAGAGACGACACGCTTTTGCGCGTCGTTTATTTACGACGCAGATTTACGACACACAATGCGTATCAAGAAAGACCTTGTCATAAACGAAGAGGACACGCATTTACGTGCCATAACCTTACGACGCACATTTAGGACACGCATTGCGTATCATTAAAGCCCCTGTCATAAATGAAGATGACACGTGTTTGCATGTCATAATTTTAAATGTTTTAAAAAATATAAATTTTTCATAGAATTACTAATTTTCAAACTAAACAACAGATTGAAATTATCATAATACAAAATAAAATACCATACATAAGAACAATAATTCATTTCAAAAACATATCACATGTCAAACAAGTTACCTATCATTACATGTCAACACTAATAACACTTAAAAACATGCTTTTTCTTGCATTTGGAGCACCTACTATTCCTATATCAGCAACCAACTTTAGGTCCAATTCCAACCACCTGTAAATGAGCAACATTGTATAAGAACAACATTAGAAGATCAACATTTGCTTAATTTGATAATTCAAAATTTGTTGCCCTTGGACCTATTCTTTTTAAAAAGATACATATGGGAAAGTTAAATGAGGGCAAATTTGTTCTTTTTGTATAAAATGAAAAGAAACACTTGAATGTATATAGATGAATAGGACATCTTATAAAACTAAGAAGCTTTAAAGTTATAAGATATGGCAAAATTCTTGTATCTGATTGAGTAAGATAAAACAAAGTATCCAAAAGAGAACCAAAACTCACCAATGCCTCAAACTTATTTTCAACTGTTACAAATGGTATGTTCGTTTCATCAGCTACTGCAACAACAATCTTCACATCAAATCTGTACAAAGATCATGTCATTATATTAATAAGTTGAAAAAATATATGTACATAAATAAACAACATGAGTACCCTTTCTTTGTGTTCAATCCTGTCCCTACAGCAGTGCCACCTTGTGCAAGCTAAAAAAGATGAAAACCTATGCCTCAAAATTCACATATGCAAAAGCCTTTACAGTTTAGTTAATAAAAAATATGAAATGATTAGAAAAACCTGATACATATGAGGGAGAGTACACATGATCCGTTCAATTCCATATTTCACTTGCAAAAACAATATATTTTTATTCTTTTTTTACCCTTCTTCCAAGCTCAAAATATTAGCTGGAAGAAGCATACTTGTGTGGTATAGCCACTGAATTCTTGACCAAGGGTTAAGGGTGTTGCATCTTGAGTATGGGTACGCCCAATTTTAACAACAATAACAAAGTTAAAAAATGGAGATCACCAAAATGGTTTAATCACCTTTGCTTGTAGGAAAGTATGTAACTGCATAAGTTTTGGAATAAGTGTTGAGTTGATTTCTGTAGCAGCTACAATCTGCATTACCTAGGAACAAAAAAGAATTAAAAAAAACTCAGAACCTAGAAAGACAAGAAGAAAAAAAAATCTAAATTGCCATGAATAGTGTTAGGAAAGAAACTCTTTGTTGAGTGCTCGACATAGAAGCTTCACACACTATCTTCATCAAGGTGTATTGTGGCTTCTCTTTGGATGATGAAGCCAGAATCTAGAATAATCTTCATTATTGAGCTTATTTTGAAGAGGTGACCCTCTTAATGCTATTCGATTTCACTTGCTTTAAGTCCTAAGCTTAATTTCAAGAGGTGACCCTGTTAATACTACACATGTTCAAACAAACAAACTCAATTCAAATGATCCTAAAACTAACTTACATGAGATTTTGCAACTGTTGAGGGTGTCCCCCCTGTGCTTGGAGTTGCATCTGATTCTGAAACTGTGGAATCTGAGTTTACTGATGTGGCACGCCTCGAGTGAGAGTTTGTGTTTGCTAATGTCCTTGAATGTATGAAAGACTTAGTGTTTGCTGATGTGGAACACCACCTTGACCGTGTGAAAGACGATGAGTTTGTTGTTGTTGTTGTTGTTTCTTTTATTGTTGCTGTTGTTCTTGAGGCTTTTGTTGCTGTTCAAACAAATCCAATTCCTCCAGTTTCTCCCACTGTATGTATGTATATATGTATTTCAATATATCAATCAATTTAAAATAAATAAATAAATAAATAAAACTTACCTTGCTTTCGCGAGTTGTACTATTGTTGTAGTACTTATATCCATCAGGCGACGTGTGCTCAGTCTAGTTACATTTCAAGGATATCATGAGCGGAGCAGAATTAGGTTGCAATCTAGCAGCAACAGCAGGTTGAAGATTCTGCTGAGGTATGATAAGTTACAGTTGCTGTTGAAGCTGTGAGAAGACTTGTTGAGACGACTGGTAACTTGCCTGTAAAGTTTGTTTTTGCTGAGTCAACATCTGAGCGAGGGCTGACGCTGATTGGTGGACAGGTGGCACCTGATACTGATTATGGGATAACATTGTGTTGAAATGACCACTGGAATTGGGTACTACTTGTTGTTGACTAATTGGTCTTATAGTGTTAATTAGATGATGGAGGCTGTGGTGATTGATTTGACAATGATGAAAGTTGCAACACTTTTGCATCACCAGATCTAGCTGCCATTTGGTTGTTCAAACCATGCATGCCATTCCACCATGTTAATGCTATTCACTTTCACTTACTTTTGGAGGCTCTTTGCTACTGCATCTACTATTAATCATTTCTTAAAAACGTTTCACGAGTCTTTCACGTGCCTGTATGATTATTATATTTCTCAGTTAGAAGATATCAATGATGTTTTATATATAAAAAAAATTCATAGGGTCTACCTTCATGCCTTTGTATAAGTCCTTATCATTCGAGTTTACTAGACTAGCATGATACCCTCATCCCCATTTCCATTCTTGTTGAACCCCAATCTTCATCTCTGCCTAAAACCAACCATGGACATTTTGTCTCCCCATGTTGCACCTATATATAGGGCCCTGTATGTGTAAATCTCATCAATACGGGAGTTATCAATGATTAGTTCTGGCTATAAGCCTTTAATAAGCAAAAATATACCAGAATGGATAAATACTTAACTGTAGACATTGAAGCCTTTAGAGTTTGTCCATGGTGTGAACAATACTAACTATTCTTGTCGATCTATCTTTGACTTTAACTATTTTCAAAATAAATTAAGAAGAAAGATAATAGACAAAAAATGATATAAAAAAATAAAACAACGCACATCATAAAGCCTATCATGACATAAGGCAAAAGAGAAATTAGCTTCATTCTATTAAAAGAGTAAATTGTTGGTCAAATAAGAGTCCAAATATAAGGATAATAGAAATTAGCTTCATGACTCCAATAAAATAACATATAATTGACTTAAAACTCGATAATCTTGTAGAAAAACCATATGATTGTAAAATATCAAACTACCATCATCAGATCGCCTACATATTTCATATCCAAAACATATCTCAAATATATTTATTTAATTAATGTAAACACAAAAACATTTAAGAGAGACATAGGGACTTATGATAAAAGCTGGAAAATAGAACTATGCCTTGGATAAACGTAATGGAAGAAACAACACCTACACATCCCTTCAAAATAGAAGTAGGCATCCCATTTTCACAATTTATATATGTACCTTGCCTACACTTTTACCAGAATGAAGATATTCAACTGCATCAGCAACAAATTGTACACCCACAAAGATTTTAAGGTCTATTGCAACCTGATAATTTGACAAAAAAGAATCTATAAAAAAATTGTACTTTTTCAAGAAAGATGTTGAAAAAGTTATAAAAAATGAAACCTTTAGCCTTCCCATATAGAAAAGATGAAAAAAATTATCAAGATGTTGTTGCCACAAGCGAGTGTATTTCACAATCTAAAGTAGCATCAAACATATGGAATATTAAAGGGAATTGAAAAAGAGACTCCTTGAAACGAGTTAAAGAAAATAGAGAACCGTAAGATTCTTTCACTATTGTCTAAACAAATACATCATGCTTCATGTACCTAATCAACTTAAGAACGCCATGTCAAGGATTGTTCTCCATAACTCTGTGAGGAAGATGAGAGATTAGGGAAATCACGAAGTTCACACCTTTGAGCCCTAGAAATTGCACTAGCTATGTGAATGATGGTCACCCTAGGAGTAAGAACCCATTTCATTTCTTTTTCCCTAATTGCCACCTTTCTTAGCTCATACCCAAATGCATAGAAGTTAGGGCATACGTTTCTTCATGTTCTTTATCAGATTTTGCGGTTAGGATTGGAGGCGGTGGATGTGGATGAGGGATATGTAAACGGAGGCATGGATGGAAGGGAGATATCAGAGAACAAAATAAAGAGAAAATATGGGAGAGAAAAGTGTCAATTTTTTACTTTTTTGTTCCCCTCCTTTTCCTTACTTACCTATTCAGGTGATACGTATGAAATGTGCTCTATTTTCTTAAGATCACCGGAGAAGGAGAAGAAGTGAGCCTGAGGTTGTCGATCAGCAACAAATCGATTGTAGAGAGAACATAATGAGTGATTGATTCTTTCGAGTGTTCTTCAAAAAAGCCCTAGAAATTAATACTCCCTGCGATTTTGTGATAAGAAACGATGTTTGAGTTAAAATTATAAATCGATATTTGCAGAGTACACACACTTAAGATAAAAGCGCCCTCCATGTTTGTAATTTTTTTTGTTGGACACTAATTTTAGGGCACACATAAATGCGTGTCCTCTATCCATGAAATTTTGGAAATCTGGCATTATTTTCAGTGCACGCAAAAATGTGTATTGTAAATCGGTGCGTATCATTGTTTGCGCGTCATTAAAGGGTTGTTTTCTTGTAGTGATATCAGTCATATCAAGCATGGTTATAGCGACTCATATAGGGAATAGAAACACCATTTGGTTTATGGGAAGCTTTACTTCGTTAGTTTTATTAAAAGAAATACCTAACTATGTTTCGTATACTTTGTAAACTGGTTTTACCACTCGGGTCTTAGGGTTTTAAGACCACAATAACTTTATATACAGGAAATACAATATTTTCTAGATCTATTCATCATTACTCTACAAGGAAGAGACACACAGAGAATAACCACATTATTGGAATTTACGAAGAATTTACACTCAACTAGTTTTCACTAAACACCAAGCTAGGCTTCGTACACTTTGAAAACTGATTTCACTACTTGGGTCTTATGGCTTATGGACTACAACTCTTTTACAGACATAAAATATCAGATTTTCTGGGAATCAAACACTATACATTACATTTTACTTACAATAGAAAATATAGGATTTTCTAGAACTCTCTCTCTTTATACATTTTCAAAAATATGAACACACATGCTATAATACAAGATTTGAAACAAAACACTCAAAACATTTTTACCGAAAATATAGGATTTTCTGGGGATACACTCTTTTCAAATACAAATAAAGAATAATAAAGGATGTGCATGCAATAATACACGGTTCTGGAACGAAACTCATAAACTACTTTTTATAGAAAATATTGGATTTTCTGAAGTTTTACATTTCTTATAAGAAAAGATATTACAAAGTTTTTCATACAATCATGATTATGAACTCACAAACATTCTATGTTGAATCTTTTCAAAATGACTTGTATTCTCAAGGACTCAATGAACAAGTACTCGAGCCTTGGATCAGGATTATTTTACTATCTTTTGAGAAACCATACTTTATGTTATTTTTTGTAATCGTTAAACAAGTACAATTTGTAAAAAAAAATGAATGTTGGTATATTGTAATGTATGATGTTTGGGTGCTATGTTTCATTCTTATTCAAATGTTATGATATTGTACATGAAGTCATCCGCCCCCAGACGTTTCCGCCGTTTTGCTTTGGGGGTGTGACAGTTCCCTTGTTGGCATATATCAAAGTTTGGGGTTGTGAAGATTTTGTTAGACGAGCGATTCATGACAAGCTTGTACCTTGAAGGGATCAATGTGTTTTCATCGGCTACCCACAAGATTCCTTTGGATACTTGTTCTACAAACCTAGAGAGAATGTGGCCTGTGTAGCACGACGAGTAGTCTTTCGCGAGAGAGAACTCATATGCATAGAGGACAATGGGAGTACAATAGATCTTGAAGAAATTGAAGAATCAAGTGATAAAGGAACCTCTAACACTATCACTTAATATGATGAAGAAATTCTTGTTGAACCTATTAACAAGTAATTACCTCTTAGGCATTCCCTTGAGTTAGAATGATATATGAGTTTTATGGTTTCCATACAACTACAAATGGTGATAGGTTTATTAGTGGTAGTACACTAGTAAATTTGGATGAGCCTTTGAACTACAAGGAAGCTATGGTGGGCCCTAAGTCTGCTATGTGGAAAGAGGAAATGAACAACAAGATCAATTCCATGTATGACAACCAAGTTTGGAATTTGGTTGACAATGTACTAGGTCAAAAGATAGTTGGGTGCAAATGGATCTTCAAGAAGAAGACCGAAATGGATGGAAAGGTACACACATTCATGGCACGACTGGTTGCGAAGGGCTTTGCTCAAACCCCATGGGTTGACTATGATGAGACCTTCTCACTGGTGCTAAGATTAAATCTATTAGGGTTATGTTAGCTATAGCTGCATTTCATGATGATGAAATATGGCAGATAGATGTCAAAATCGCTTTCCTTAATGGAAAGTTGGCTGAAGATGTTTACATGAGTCAGCCAAAGGGTTTTGTGGATGCTAAGTACCCCAATAGAGTGTGTAAGCTTTAGGAATCAATCGATGGATTGAAACAAGCTTCTTGCAAATGTAATCTTTGTTTTGACGAGAAAGTCAACGAGTTTGGTTTCTCTAGAAACAAAGACGAATCTTGTATATATGTCAAAGCTAGTGGGAGTATAGTCACTTTTCTGGTATTGTATGTTGATGACATACTACTTATAGGAAATGACATTCCAAGTTTGCATGATGTTAAGTCCTTGCTTGGAAAGTGTTTCGCTATGAAGGATCTAAGAGAGGCTGCCTATATTCTAGGAATAAGGATTTGAAGAAATAAGAGTAGAAGACTAATTGGACTTAGTCAAAGTACATATTTGGATAAGGTGCTAAAACGTTTTAGCATGGAGAATTCCAAGAAAGGGGATTTACCTATCCAGAGTAATACCAAGTTGAGTAAGACTCAAAGTTTGAGTACTGATTCAGAGATACCAGAAATGAATCGAGTTCTATATGCTTCAGCCATTGGATCGATCATGTATGCTATAACATGTACTCGCCCTGATGTGGCTTTTGATTTGAGCATGGTTAGTCTATATCAGGGAAATTTGGGTAAATCTCATTGGATAGCAGTCAAGAACATTCTTAAGTATCTGCGAAGGACAAAGGACTGGGTCCTTGTGCTTGGTGGTAGTGATGAATTAAGAGTTACTGGATATAGGGATGCCAATTTTCAAACAGATAGAGACAACTTTCATTCTGAGTCTGGTT